TCACATATTTGAAACTGAATCTCTAAGTTGTCAAATTACGTATGTATAAAAATACACTTTACTATGGTACACTTTGATATTTGCAGAAGATAAACTCTTACAAATTGGAAGTGTGATGATGTGCACACAGTAGATTCATTAAAAGTTATTATATTGTAATATATATGCAGCTTAATTATCATTTTAACTTGAAAATAAATGTACAAATATAAAAATGTAGCATGCAGATACAGATGGTTTATAGATGCCTTTTCTCTCAGGAACGCTACTTTGCCTCTTTTTAGAGATGCTGAAGCTATAAATATAAAGAGAATCAAGTACAGGTTTGATTACTACATGTTACACATCTAAATAACTTTCAAATAAATCAAATAACCTTTCAGGCTGAAAGGTGGGAATGTTCTTTAAGTTTGTGAGTCCACATTTTGTAAAAAAAAAAAAAAAAAATAAGTTTTAAATTAAGGAAGCTTTTGAAGCCCCGAGTCGTTGGTATTGTTCTGTACTCACCACAGCTCCTCCTGTTGTGAGTTAAGAACAGGAGTTCTTAATGTAGATTTTTAATAAACTGATTAGAACTATTGTGGGATAACCCTGTGACCTGTTTGCTCTTGTTTATGTTTTTAAAAATGCATTTTATTATGAATGATTTAGAACAAATAATGCATCTATCCAACTTTGGAATTTTGGTAAAATAAATACATCCTGATGCATGCTCAATAATCCAGGTAAGATAAATACACTTTAATTTTTTTGTTGTTGTATTTTATTTGAATTTTTTTTCCAGACAGATGTCTTTATATGCCCATCAAAAGATTGATGTGGTAGTCTCCACCCCATGTCTGTAAAAAATTATCTTGATCTGCTCAAATAATTTCATGAAACTTGGTACACGTATGAATCATCATTAGACGGAGTGTCGTGTACACTTTCCATCACCCCAGCTTCAAGGTCACAAATCAAGATTAAATATTGTATATGGTCTTTGCTCGTGCAGACCATTGCTGCAGATTTTTTTTCATTCATTCAACCTTTATTTAGACAGGTAAATCCCATTGAGCCTCAAGGACTCATTTACAATAGAGACCTGATTTCAACAAAGAATGATGACAACAATGGACAACAGCAACAACAATTGACAGTTATAAAAAAGACATACAGATTTTTTTTATTTTTGGATGTATAATAGTTTGTTGACAAGTGTATAATGTGCTGTGTGTGGCACTAATGCTTTGGGAAAGTCAACCCTGTCATAAGTGACTTTGATAATAGTTTTAGTTGCAGACCTAATATTTTCATCCATCCATCCATCTATCCATCCATCCATCCATCCATCCATCATCTTCCACTTGTTTCAAAGTCAGGTCTCGGGGGGGGGCAGCAGCTTAAGCAGGAGGTCCAGACATCTCTTTCCACAGCCTCCTCTTCCAGCTCTTCTGGGAGGATTCCAAGGCGCTCCCAGGCCACCCGAGAAACATAGTCTCTCCAGTGTGTCCTGGATCATCCCCAGGGTCTCCTCCTTGTCGGAAATGCCCGAAGCACCTCCCTAGGGAGGCGCCCAGGGAGCATCCTTACCAGATGCCCGAACCACCTCAACTGGCTCCTCTCGATGTGGAGGAGCAGCGGTTCTACTCTGTCTTTCTCGGATAACTGAATTTCTCACCCTAAGGGAGAGTCCAGCTTCCCTGCAGAGGAAACTCATTTCAACCGCCTGTATCCATGGTCTCATTCTTTCAGTCACTACCCAGAGCTCGTGACCATAGGTGAGGGTAGGAACATAGACTGACAGGTAAACAGAGAACTTTGCCTTACAGCTCAGCTCTCTCTTCACCACAACGGACCAGCACAGAGTCCGCAATACTGCAGATGCTGCACCAATCCATCAGTATATCTCACGCTCCATTCTTCCCTCACTCGTGAACAAAACCCAGAGATACTTGAACTCCTCCACTTGAGGCAGAACCTCACCTTCGACTTGAAGAGAGCAATCCACCCTTTTCTGGTGGAGGACCATGATTTATCAACAAAGTTTTTAATGCCTCTTGTTAAACCTTTCTGTTTTTCTGTGCATAATTCTAATTTTAAAAATTTGTTTTATATGTTAGGTTCCTGGTTCAAATCCTGGTCCAGGGACCTTTCTGAGTGGAGTTTGCATGTTCTCTCTGTGCATGCGTGGGTTTTCTCCGGGTACTCCTGTTTCCTCCCACAGACTAAAAACATGCATGTTCAGCTGATTGGTAACTCTAAATTGTCTCTAGGTGTGAGTGAGAGAGTGAATGGTTGTTTGTCTCTTTTGTCTCTATGTGGCCCTGTGATGGACTTGCGACCCGTCCAGGGTGTACCCCGCCCCTCGCACAGTGATTGCTGGACATGGGCACCGGCGACCCCTGTGACCCAAAATGGAAGAAGTGGATAAAAGATAATGGATGGATGGATGGATGTTGTCTTTGGGTTTGTCGCTTCAAACTGGTATCTGTTTTAATTTTTGTTTGAGAAGACAAAACTTTTCACTATGTCTTCTATTTAAATTCTTGATATTCCTCAAACTGGACAGGTTAAAGGATTAAAGTCACAATGAATAAAGCCTAGCCAAACATTGTTATTCACTGAATGCAACAACGACTTGTAAAACGAACAAAGGCAGATCAGATTGAATGTGTGGTTAGAAATACCAGCTTTAGTTTCGGTTTTTAAAGAGAAAATCTTTGACAACCTGTAGTATTTTTGATTTTGTAAATGTGTCCCACAAAGTGGCATCATCACTTCAAGCTTTCGTGAGTTGATCATTTCTGGGAAGGTCATGAGCTGATCAAGCTGTCACTGATTACTATAAACTAATAATTTATTCTCAGAACTTCCTTAAGGTCATTTCAGAGTTGACTGAGTATCTGAACGTAATGGATGTGCACATTTTGACTTCACAGCTGGATTACGATGTAAGACCAACGTCTAAAGAATACTGACAGCTTTTCACTTGAATAGATCCAGTTAAAGTATTGCCTGAACGTTTGAGTACCTGTACGGTGACAACAATAGGTAGCTAGTGTTTGTAACTGCGTGTGTTTGGAGGTGAAGGTCGTGGCAGGAAGAAGCCTCATCCAAACAGCAGCCATTTTAATTTGTTTGACAGGAGAGAGAGGTGATAACCTCCCTCTGCAGCCGCTCACCCGGGGAAGAGGGGGTGGTGTTAGAAAACAAGGCGCGAAAGCAAAAAGCAAAGGAAGAACGGCTGAGCTGAATAGTGATAAGGTGGTCGGAGGGGTGGAGAGAGAATCTGAAAAAGGAGGAGAGAGACACTGGAAAGGAGAGTGTAATATTTGATTATGGCTCAAGGCTCGTGTGTTTATCCAAAAGCTAAAGACTGTCAACCAGCTAATCGTGGAGGGGTGTGTCTGTTTGTGGGAGCATGTGAGCCTGTGTGGGTCATTGCTATCAGCACATAATTTATGCTGACTACACGTGTCTGTGTGTGTGTGTTTGTGTGTATGTTAGACTTTCTGGATGTCAGTTACACTCCTGTGGGCCTGAGGAGAATACAGCAGACTCCCTCAGGGTGCTGTTAGTGCCACTCTCATACAGATGTGTGCTGGGCTGCAACTGTGACATTGTCAACGTGTGCATGTGTGTGTCCTCCTCATACAGGAAGCAAAATGTCTCCCTTTAGAGTTCTTCATTGCGTTGGATGATTTGTTGAATTTATCAATTTGGGCTTTTACCGACTTCTGTTCATTAAATGTGTGATGGGTTTTGAGTAAGAAAAGCTGAATTTAACTTTATTTTTTTATAGATTTTGGCTGCTATCACGATTTATTTAGCAGTTAATATAAATTCTGAAAGAACAGTCAGAATATTTAGAGATGGTTATGAAAACTAGAGATGATCGTAGCTTTACTCCAAGGTATTAAGACCTCAGCTAACGTCTTTTATTCTTCTTAAAATGTACTTTGTGATCTGTATACATTCTTTTAGTTTTGCATTATTGCTAAAGTTTATTACCAAAGGCAAATAGAGGGTTGATATTTTAGCCTGAGTGAGAGAGAGTGTTTTGGCTGTAGAATTAGCAAAATATCACAAGGCACAAAACTGATATAAGTGGGACTCTCAGAAAGTAATCAGTGAATGTACATCTACAACTGAATAATTGATTCAAGATGGCTGCCACAGCCAAGCAACCTTAGAAAACACAAACGGCTTTAACTCAGCCACTTTTCCATTTATTGGGCTATGATTTGAAGTAGTAGTAGCTGAGACTCATCCCCAACATACTCTGTGCACTAAAGGTCATTTCATGCTCCACTGGAAGCCGAGAAATCGGCTCCCATTGTCAAATGGCATGTGACAAAAATTAACTAAAATCATGTGACCATGAGCTAACTGCTCTGCTTCAGATGGAGAATGAAACAACCATAACTTAACAAAATAAATAAATTTAAAAGGTATCGGATCATTGTAATACTTGGTTTATTTACATAATGACTTTAATTGCTGGATGTCTGGCCCCTGAGCTGTCGGCTTTCAGTAACTGTGGCCCCTGAGCAGTTTAGTTGAATTGCCCTGGCGTATTACATTTTGAATTCAACTCTCATAAAAATAGCTGCCACAGCCAAATGATTTTAGGAAACACAAAAATGGTTATAACTCAGTAAAATTTACAGATAATCATCTACTTTTAATGGCTTGTTTGAACCTAGCACATTGCCCAGGACATCCATGTAAGAGATTAATAATCTCAATGGATTTCTTTCCTGGTAAAATAAAGGTTTAAATTAAAAAATATATATATATTTCAGTGGTAGTAGATGCAAGTCATTCTTAATACTTTGAGTACAAACACACGTCTTGGGATCATCTTGCAATAATGAATTGGATTGCAAAACGACGTCATTACATCAATAATTTAACTTGGTACACAACTTGTTTTAATTAGTATACGAAAGCAAAATATTACTTGTATGTTGTAACCTTTGCAGCTTTTTAATAGCATTCTTTTTCTTTTCTGCCAGATGCTTGTGACGAAGAAGAAAAAGGCATTTGGTTTGTTTCAGAAAGAGACAAGGACGTATGTATCCATTTCAAATTCTTACTTAAGTAATAGTTTAGTCTTTTATGTTTTTAAAGCCAGTACTGAATAATTTCTGCTTGTAGTCAGAAATAGAAAAAGATTTTTGTGGAGATATAGCAAAAAAATTAGATTTATTAACTCTTTAAAATTGTTACTATGTAATTATATCATTCTTGTTTAAGGTTGGTTTGTGTCTCGTTATGTATACAGTAGAAAAAGAAAGCAGCTCTTTGACATCGTAGTATTTTTGTGACAGTGATTTGGAAAACATCAATACCTTAATAAGAATACCTCCTCTTCAACGATTCAAAGTTGTTCGGTTGTTCCTTATAACACTTTGATATTTAATTTGTGTGTTTCAGGCTCAGATCTTTAATAAAGGCAGCGGTCTCAGGATACAGCGGGTGTCGAACAGATACTTCACTGAGAAGAACATCCACTGCAGAAACTGCAACAAGACCGGACATCTCTCCAAGAACTGTCTCGAGAGCAAAGTCCGTTCTTCAGATAGCACAGTTGTTCATCTGGCTCGTCCACGCTGCATAGATGTAAACACACTAACAGTGTGTTTTTGTGTATGTGCACAGAAGCTGTTGGTGTGTTACCTCTGTGGTATGGTAGGACACATGGCCAAAGCATGTCCCAGCAAACACTGTACCAACTGTGGACATCCTGGACACAGCTTCGAGTCCTGCCGGGAGAAGGCCTATTGGCACAAACATTGCAATCGATGCAACATGAAGGGTCACAACTTTGATGTGAGTAGCTATAGAATATTCTTTACCTTCTTTATCACTTCATGTTTTTATGTTTTATCAAGAAAAATGAATTAAAAAATTACAAATTACTGCTAACTAGTTTTACACCATAGCAAGTATAAATTTTGCAGGCACGCAGCTTAGCTTTGTTTGTCCAACAGTTCGTACGGCCCAGTTAGAGCTCATTTTAATTGTACAAGTCACTCAAGTCTTGAGTTCAGTCTTTTTAAAGCTTGCAGCTTGCTTTGTCACACAAGATTAGAAAAAAAAAAAACTTTCCAAAAAATGCTCTTCTGCTTAGAATTTATTTGTATGCAATTGCCTTGAAACTTGAATACATCTGAAATTAAAACATATCTAGTATTACACACTATAAAAATATCACCAGGAAGTCCATATTAGGTGGTTAGGTGGTCCTTCCTTGATTTGCTTATGCAGATCCCTCCAGTTCCAATTACAGTATGTATGAGCCAATAGATCTTAATGCTTCCCGAGTGCATTGACACCAGCTTTTTAGTTCTGTATGCACTGATCAGGATTTATGATAAAAATGACCTAACATTACAAATAAGTATAAGCCATACCATGCTGAGTGAGTATTGCAGTTATTTGTGTACATGTCTGATGATGCAGTGTATTCAACACAAAGAACACATATATGATGTAAACACAGGGTTTTGGTGACATGGTTAAAATTCCAAAATATATGTTGTGTAACACATAGAAGCACAACTAATTAGGAGTTCTTTGTATAGAAACACAAAAAATAATTACAAAATCGAGATTTAAACAAAAATATGTATAAAGATAAATGAAGTAAAAACAGGCAAACATGTCTCACAGAATAAGAAAAGCTTCAAATTGACACATTTAGCTGTGACACCGAACAGTTTGTGATTTACATGTCATGAGTGCATGGAGGCCTCTGTGTAATAAAATGGGCCATCTAGGTGAACCCCTCAGTGGACGTTTGTGTTCAGACCAAAACTTGTAACTAGGGATGCACGATACACATTTTTTTTTACTTCCGATCC